TATATATATATATATATATATATATATAAATGTATTTCTCATTACAGTATACGAGGACAGCTTTCTCTTCGAAAGTACTTCGAAGTTTTCTTCGCTAAATCACTAATCAATACTCTCATCGTTTGGAAGACGTGGGACTTTGTTGTTACTTTACTTCGTTTATCAACTTAGACTAATAATTAGACTAATAATTAATGAGATTGACGATTTCTAAAGTCGGCGCGATAAATCGCCAGTAAAAGAACTTAGTTATATTAATGACATTTATCAGAATGAGACAATATTTTACTTCGTTAACATAACCGAAGTAAAAGATTTAGTTGAATACATATATACATACGTATTTCTCGTCGATGTAGACCGTCGAAAAAAGCAAAACAAATTTATAAATATTAGCACAGTGCTTTAAACATATAATAATAATGAGATTTAATATGTGCAATATAACATATATGTTATAAAAGCGGAGTGATAGCATATATGTTATAAATACAGGAGACATGGCATATGTGAAGGCATTATACAAAAATGTAAATCGTGTAGTGCATTTTTAAAAATGTACATGATATTTAAATGTTACCCTGAAAAAATGTACTAAACTTTAATAAATATTTGTTTGAATAGTACTAGATTTTTATTAAATTTAAACATATATTTAATACGAGAATCATTAAGTTCAATTATCATTTTTTTATTGAGTCAATTTATTTACTGACATAAATAAATATTAAATTAGTACTATTGAAAAAAAATATGTTAAGATTTAATAAATTTTTTCTCAATATACACAATACTATATAAGAATTAAATATAATATTTATTTAAAAAAAAATTTACATTAAAAATTTTATATCGCGCCAACAATATGTAAAATATTCACACGCGTTAAATGGCATTTTATGTACAAATTTTTTTATAATATGATTTACTGATTATCTACAAAAAAATTAAGATAACATTTGCAATTCTAAATTTTATTAGTGTAATTTATCTAATAAATTGGTATTTTAATACTTTACTACATTAATATTATTACTAATATCTATTATACTGACATTAAACCGCAAATATGCGTAAAAATATTACGGAAAATATGGTACCAAATGTCAATATA